GGGCAGAGCATCGCTTCAGTAGCCGGCTGTGCTCGGCGCCGTTCTCCGACCGCTTCTGCTCAGCTGCTGCCCAAAGTCCTGTAGGGCCACTCCTCCTCACTGAAGTCCGCATTCGGCCACTCAGGGGCTGCTCTGTCTGAGGTGTGCAGTCTCTGCAGCTGTCATCTTCTGTTGCCTCCCTATCTGTCTAATTTTTTTCCTTTTTAGTAAAGTCCTGGAGGGAACATCTCTGCAGTTCCTCCATTCTCTGCAACTTGCTACGAATATCTGATGCTGACTGGCCTATAAAAGACTTCACTACATTGGCTTGGCGATCTGCTGCCATGGGATCAAAATGGGTTTACATCCTGTAGCCCTCCAATAGTCTTTCTAAAAATCCTGTAGGAGTACTATCAGACCTTTGTACTATTGCTCTTACCTTAGCCAAATTAGCAAATTAGTGGGGTGCTTTGCAGCCCCCCCCTTTTTTTTAGACCCGCCAATTGGACTTTGGCAATAAAGACAGAGCTGCTCCCTACCAGCTGGAGTATTGAAGTCCCATCCTCTATCTCGTCCGGTGATTGGGTTGGCCTGCTGTCAGCTCCTGGGACATTCTTTTTTCCTCTGTGGTTAGGAGCACCTGTAAGAGCTGCTGGCAATCATCCCAAGTGGGCTGATGAATAACCAGAACAGATTCTATAAGCCTGGTCACGGCCTGAGGGTCCCAAGGATAGGAAGGGTTATAAGTAAAGATTAGAGGCATAAAAAGGCAGTATTGCAATTGGTCTGCTACTGAGTGAAGGGGAAATGTTTGGGAAGTCATTCTCATCCTTTTCCTGTCCCAGCGTGGATGCTGAGTACCGAAGTTTTTAGGGCTAGGGCCCGACCAGCAGGGCTCTTCAGGAACGAAGTGCTTTCTCTGGGGGAGGAGGAGGGAGAAGTCTGTCATGCTTGGCTGGATATCACGAAGAACCAGAGGTGCCTGGATTCTGTTTTTTTTTTTTTTGTTCCTGTAACAGGAAAGAGAGAAGACAAAAGACTCGGGGATGGGCAGCCATCACTTTTTTTCAGCAGCGGGGCTACTTTTGGAATCAGGGAAACTGATGATGGTCAGGGGGCGGGTGCCAGGTTCTGAATTCCTGCAGGTGGATTTTAACAAAGACAAATCGACATACAAAAACAAAAATAGAAAGAGACAGACATAAACTCAAAACCAGAAGCTGGTGCTCTCATCACCATTCTGGTGTAGAACTGAAAATACATAAGAACAAAAAGACAGACATAGACTCAAAATCAGAAGCCACGCGGCAACAGATCCAAAAATACAGATGGAGGATTATATCTCCCCTGGAGATTAGGGCGACCTGGTCGCCCCTCCCTCCCATAAATGCCCATGAAACGTCTTTTAGGGCTAGGGCAAGGGATCGCAGGACATGTCTGCCTCTTTCCTTAGCCCCGTTTTAATACAGACAGACCCTGCGCAAGTACAATTCTCAAGTTACTGATTCACAATTACACAGAAACAGAAACACAATACATAAACAGACAGACATAAAAATGAGCTTTTTTTTTTATACCTCCAACTGGGTCCAGAGTGTGTCTGGGAGTGACTCAATTCCCGGTCAGGGAACCAAATGTTGGACTCTGGCGTCCAAATACCAAGAAGGAGTCGCCCCCAGAGACCATCTCACACACCACAGCCGATGCAAAAGCATGAGGATTTTATTAATTTTGTCATGACAGGGCTCTTTCTCAGGCTCACCCCTTAATGTGGCAAGATCTAGCCACCTAGAGAAGTGGAGGGGACCCTGCCAGTCACACACACCCCTGGTGGTAAACTGGGACCAAGTTTGACTTGACCAAGGCCACTAAGTTGGAAGCTGTGGACAGAAATATAAGCTAAGTCGGAGCACTTACCTGCTTCCTCTTCCCGGGGCCCAGGGCACTGAACTGGAAGTAGCCTTGAACACACAACCGGGCGGTTCAGCAGGTGCTCTTTCCTCAGTCTTCCTTAGAGGCCTCCTTCTGCAGTAGTAGTTCCAGAGGCCACGCTCAGCCCTTTCATGCTGGAGAATCTCCGTGCACAACTAGAGAAGAGCCAGCGCCAGCGGCTCCCTCCGGGAGGAGAAGCCCCTCCTGGGTGGCGCTAGACTGGCTTCTCTCCTCTGTTTGCCTTGGGAGGAAGCCAATCAGATGCACAGGATCGGGCTGTCCTGAACCCTGAGACAGCGGGCTAGTTGTTTCCTCACTAGGGAGGGATGTCTAGGTCCCAGTAGGGCTTAGCAGTAGGACTGGGGGTAGGAGGTGTGGCGGCTTAGAAAAGGGTGGTCAGCTTGGTCCTGAGGAGTGTGTAACCGGCTAGGCCTCTTGTCAGGTTTTCCCAAACGATATTCTGGGAACTCATCAGGCTTAGGGAGACCAGGAGAGAAGTGTTAGCAGAGAAACTGGAGGGCCGGAGGGATGGCTCAGTGGTCCAGAGCACTGGCTGCTCTTCCAGAGGACCCGGGTTCGAGTACCAAAACCCAGTTCCAGGGGGTCTGACGCCCTCTTCTGACCTGTGCAGGCAGCAGACACGTATGTGGAGCACAGAAACATGCGAGTAAAACACCCACATACATGTAAGGTGACGACGTGGGGGGAGGCTGGGTGTGCTGTCGAACGCCCTTAAACCCAGCGCTTGGGAGGCAGAGAGGCAGGCGGATCTCTGTGAGTTCAAGGCTAACCTGCTCTACACATCAAGTTCCAGGCCAGCCAAATGTACACAGTGAGATCCTCTCTCAAACACCAGACAACAAAAAGGTGAAAAGTTTAATTTGTAAATCAGCTTTGGTGGGCAGTATAGTCTTTCTCATCTCTACCCGTCTGGGCTCTGTTCTAAAAGTAGACAACACTAAGACCTTGAAGCTACCAGGTGTGGTTGGCTAAGAAGCCATCTGAAGGGGCTAGAGGGGTGGCGCAGTGGCTGGGAGCCTGAACTGTTTATGCAGAGAGCCTGAGTTCAGTTCCCAGTACCCACATCGGGGAGCTCACACTGCTTGTCTCTTGTCCTGTAGGACCTGACACTTCCGGCCTCCTCAGCTGCTCACCTGTCCTTACCTGTACACAGATATATGCATGACTAAATAATAAATAATCTTTTATTTTATTCTGAGACAGGGTCTCTATATGTAACCTTACCTGTTCTGGAACTTTCTACGTAAAGATTGGCTTCAAACTCCGGAGAACCACCTGCTTCTGCCTTGAGTGCTGGGATTAAAGGTGTGCACCACCACTCCCAGCTAAAAATAATAAAATCTGAGAAAAAAGAAGGAGAAGCAATTTGAAAAAGACTTTTAAATAATTGTCGTGGGGGGGGGGGGCAGGTCCTTTGTGTTGGTAGAAGCCAGGAGTCTTGGTCTTAATCTGAATTCAACGGGAACCTGTCTGTACACAGGTGAGAACCACTCCAGGTATACATCTTAGCTCTGTATGACTGTACATGAACTGTAACTCTGTGGGAGTAGACTTCACCAGGAGGGCAGACCAGGAAAACTGGAGAGGAAGTAAATTTCTGCCTCTACACATCAAGTTCCAGGCCAGCCAAATTTCCCTCTTAGGAAATTATATATAATATTTCATATGTGTGGGTGTCTTCCTGTATGTGTGTTCATGCATCATATGTGTGCCTGGTGCTTATAGTGGCCAGAAGAGGGTGTCAGATCCCTTGGGCCTGGAGTTACAGTTGTGAGCCGTGTGTGTGCTGGGAATAGAACCCAGGTCCTCTGGAAGGACAGCCAGTGCTCTCAACCTCTCTAGGCCTCTCTCTGACCCTGCTTTTATTTGTTTTCAAGGAAGATTTCACTCTATGACCCAGGCTGGTCTCAAACTCATGGCAATCCTTCTGCCTCAGCATTTCAAGTGCTGGCGTTAAAGATGTGAACCACCATACTTGGCCTCTTCAGAATTTTAAGTTTTTGTTGTTTTTATTGTGTACGAGGGACTGCAGGTTGAGTTTGGGCATGGAGGCCAGAGGACAGCTTTTGAGAGTCAGTTTTGCCTTCCCACTGTGCATCCTGCTGATTGAGCTCAGGCTGCTGGGTTTGTGCAGCAAGTGCCTTTACCTCCTGAGCATCTCACCAGTTCTCTTGAAAATGTAAACAAAGACTATGCTGTGCGGAGGAAGGAGAAGCTGCCTATTCACATGCCATCAGTTTTAGGAGCTTCCCAAGGAGCTGGAGAGATGGCTCAGTGGTTAAGAGCACTTGTTGCTCTTGCAGAGGACCAAGGTTCCATTCTCAGCACCCAAGTTGTGGTTCACACAGTGATGCCCTCTCCTGGCCTTTTAGGGCACTGTGGGCACTGTGGGCAAACAGACGGGCATTGCCACACATCCAAAGAGACACTCGTACCTCTACAGTAATAAGAAAAACACCAGGGAGCTTCCACAGTTCCACCTTGCTAAGAGTCGCGCGTGCCTTCCCAGGAGCAGATGAGGTGGTCCCCCATCACGTATACTCTCCTGACAATGTTGGAGGTGGTCCCCCATCACGTATACTCACCTGACAATGTCGGAGGTGGTCCCCCATCACGTATACTCTCCTGACAATGTCGGAGGTGGTCCCCCATCACGTATACTCACCTGACAATGTCGGATGTGGTCCCCATCACGTATACTCTCCTGACAATGTCGGAGGTGGTCCCCATCACGTATACTCTCCTGACAATGTCGGATGTGGTCCCCATCACGTATACTCTCCTGACAATGTCGGAGGTGGTCCCCATCACGTATACTTTCCTGACAATGCCGGAGTTTGGAGTTCTGAGGGTGCCTCATTTCAGCCATCCCCTATATCCTCCTTGGATGTTAGTCTCTGCTCAGAGCTAACCACCCACCCTGGCCTTTTTCCGGTGCTTTGTGCCAGCCTGTCCTGCATCCCACATCCCGTATCCCCAGCTGGTGACATTTCCATGCCATTACCCAAGGGGTGAATAAAAGAGCCCTGTTACCCAACAATAGGGGAAAGACAGAGACAATGGGAAATTGTGTTCTCCTTGGGGTGGGAACAGAAAACGAAAGGACAGACAGAAAGGCTCAGGGCCCTGAAGCAGCTGGACGTTCTGAAAGTCTGATTCCCACTTTGACAGTCTCTTCCAAAAGGCCATATGTAGCCTGGCACGGAGGGCACAGGTGAGGGCTTTGGTGGAGGGAGGAGCAGTTTTTTTGTTCGGATGAGGCCCATATGGAAATGCAGAGCTGGATTCACACTTAGGGCTCGTTCGCTCCCCGCCTGGACCAACACTCGTGCACTTGCGGGGTCTGTCCCACCCCTGGTCCCAGAACAGGAGGAGTTGCAGGCCTGTTCTCTGTTTTCTTCTAGGAGATCGGCTCTGTCCTCCATCATCCTGACCTGGCCAAGATAGCAAGAGCCACTGATCCTGTCACCACTGCTTAGTGTGAGCTGGGGAACAGGTCTAGCATCCAGCTTCTGTGAGCACAGGAAACAAGCCCTGGAAAAGCGTCAAAGGAGTCAGAGACCAGATGCCCAAGTCCTGAGGCCGTTGGGGTGCTTCGAACCCCTGCATCCTCAACAGCATCTCCACTGCACCCTCTTCAGCAGGATAGGAAGCTGATAAGCACCTCTCCCTTCCTCTGAGGAGAGGTCATCTTTTCAGGTAGGCACTGTGTTGGCTTCTTTCTACAAGGGGTGTGGAAATGGTATATGTGGGCTTCTCTTAACTACAGAACTCTAGACCAGTGGCCAAGAGCTCAAGCCCCAACAAACTCTCCCTTCGCAGCTCTGGGACTGCCCCTGTGGCTTTATTTTTGCCTCCCTGAACCTCCAGAGAATAAACACACAGTATATAGTAAGGTGCCTAGATCAGATTGCACTTCAAGTATGCTGATGGTGGGCTAACCTACATCACACTTGGTCCATTATTTTAGAAACATTTTATTGTATTTTATTATTTTGTGTTCAGGTGTGGTGTGCTTGTGCCAGGGTGTGCAAATGGAATCAGAGGACAACTGTGGGAGCTAGTTCTCTCTTTTAAATACATGGGTTGCTAGGAATTGAACTCAGGTCATCAGGCTTGGTGGTAATCGCCTATACACATGGAACCATCTCACCAGCTTCCAAAAGTAAAGGTCACTTTTACTTACCAGGTTGTCCTATATGAACTCCTGTCCCACACAGTGTTTTGTCTTAATTGAGAAAAGTCTCTCTTAAGTAGGCCTGGCTGTCCTAGAACTCTCTGTGTATACCAGGCTAGACTCGAACTCACAGAGATCCACCTGTCTCTGCCTCCTGAGTGCTGGGATTAAAGGTGTGCTACTATGGCACTTCATTTTTATTATTAGAAAGTTCTTGTTTTTTCCTTAATTATTAGTGTGTATGTATGTGGTAGGGTGTGTGTGTGCTCATGAAAGTAGGTACTCCTAGAGTCCAGAAGAGGGCGCCAGATCGCCTGGAACTGGAGTTACAGGCAGTCGTGAATAGCCTGGCATGGGTGCTGGGAACCAAACTCAGGTATCTCCAGTTCCTATTGGAAAGTTTTTTTTCTTTTTTGACTGTGAGGGTGTTGAAATGGGGTTTCTCTGGGTAGCCCTGGCCATCTTACCACTTGCTCTGTAGACTAGGTTGGCCTCAAACTCAGAGATTCATCTGCCTCTACCTCCCTAGTGCAAGGTGTACACTACTACCACCTGATGGAAAGTTCCTTTTTAAGATTTATTATGTACAGTGTTCTGTCTGCATGCGTGCCAGAAGAGGGCGCCAGATCTCATTACAGATGGTTGTGAGCCACCATGTGGTTGCTGGAAATTGAACTCAGGACCTCTGGAAGTGCTCCCAACCTCTGAGCCAACCTCTTAATGTAACAAATCTGTTTCTCCAGCTACAAACTGGTCTTTGGAGCCCAGTGCTTTAGATACTCTTGGAGGCCTTCTTTGTTCCCATCTCTCCTCTCAATTATTTAAGGCTCCTTCATAACAATGCACACACAGCGGGGCGCCACTCTGCACTCTCTAGAGCTCTTTCCCACCAGGCACGGTTTTAATTTTTACAAATCCTTGATTAATTCACTGCTGAGTGCACTGTGTTAGTTATGCTTATTGTTGCTGTGAACGAAATATGCAGCAGAAACAGCTTTAGGAAAGACTGATTTAGGCTCACAGGTTTTTCCTTTTATTCTGTCTGGTGCTCCTGCCCCTGGGGTGGTGCTACCCACACTAAGGGTGGGCCTCACCCTCAATTTGCCCTCACAGTCAAGCCCAGAGGCAATTCTAATCCATTCAGGTTGCCGTGAGGACTAGCCACCACAGGTAGCACACTACAATTACCACTTTATTCAGGACACTGAGGCTGGCATTGTTTCTCAGTTAAGGTTATGCAATAAGCATATGGAAGAGGGCTGAAGAGATGGCTCTGTGGTTAAGAGTGCTGACTGCTCTTCCAGAGGACCCAGGTTCAATTCCTACCACCCACATGGAAGTCAACAGCTGTCTGTAACTCCAAGATCTGACACCCTCAGATAGACATACATGCAGGCAAAACACCAATGCAAATAAAATAAAAATAAATAAATTATTAGGAAAATAAATATATGAAAAAAAAGCATATGGAAGAGCCCAAATTGTGACTGAATAAAAACAAGTCAAGGGGTCATCAATCCACCTTTTTTTGTAAAGTTCACTGTGGTAAGCATAGAAACTACAGAAGGAGGCAGGGACCCACAGCACAGGCAGACTGACTGCCGCACTTGAACTGTTTCATAATTCTACAGTCTTATGTTCTGCAACGGGAAACCCTTGGGACACGGCCCACCAGTGTGAGTCCCCTGCTGTCCAACCCAGTTAGTTTAGCCAGTGATAAGGGCATAAGGAAAAAGTTCTGTGTCTGGTCCAATAGACTTCATGCTCACAGCGAGACAGACTGGAGAATGAAGGGAGGTTTTCCAGAGATAAGGCCCAGTTTTGATGCCTCTTACGTCCATTGTGCCTGGACTCCAGTGCAGAGTCAGACTGGGGAATAGACATTAGCAGCACCGGGCAGGCTGGAGCCAGAGTCCGGGAAACTGTGTGAAGAAGATAGCAGAAGCACGAGGAGAACCACTCTTCCAAGCAGGAGAAATCATACTGACTTTGACTCTGGGGTAGAAAGCGACGCTGTCAAATGAATTCAGAGAGCCAAATCCCAAAGGCAGGCTTGGGAAGCAGATGGGATGAGGGAACCCGGGAGGAGATGCTAAGGCAGGGTTTCCTAGCTGAGGTAACCCGCCACCAGCCTCTTACCTCCCCTGGACAAACGCAGGAAGCTGATCCTCATCTCTGCCCCTCTCCCCATTTTTCCTTCAGTACTGTGGAGTGTCTGTCGTTTGTGCCCCGCAGACGGCGCTTGCTGACACCGCCATGTCAAGTCGGATCCCTCTCCATGCACTCTGCTGCGTCCTTCTCCCCTGGGCATTCACCACCTTTCACCAAGCCCTGGGGAACCCGGGTAAGAGCCTAGCCCAGCCCAGCCCCCAACCAGGACACTGGGAAAGGGTTCAGGGGATGGAGGGCTAAAGAGAGCAGCTATTGAAAGCACCTAGGGAGTGAGAATCCGTGAGGAAAGGTGAGGGTGGTGCCAATGAGCCCCCAGGAAAGCTTCTGGGGACTAGGTCTGAGTGGGCACTTGGGGCAGGGAGGATAAGAGGCCTGCCACTGTGGCCCCTCTGCTCAGCCCCCCATCCGGGTCCCCACTACCTTCTGCTCCCCATCCACGAGGTCATTCACTCTCGTCGTGGGGCCACGGCCACACTGCCCTGCGTCCTGGGCACCTCGCCTCCCAGCTACAAGATACGCTGGAGCAAAGTGGAGCCCGGGGAGCTCCGAGAAACGATAATCCTCATCACCAACGGACTGCACGCCCGAGGCTACGGGCACCTGGGAGGGCGGGCCAGCATGCGGAGGGGGCATCGACTGGACGCCTCCCTGGTCATCAAGAACGTGCGCCTGGAGGACGAGGGCCGGTATCGCTGCGAGCTCATCAATGGCATCGAGGACGAGAGCGTGGCACTGACCCTGCGCCTGGAGGGTGAGTTTTCTGTTCCAGCACTGTTGTTCCTTAGCTGTGCGGACCACCTCAGCTATGCCAGCCTCCCCTGCCGGCGCTCCTCTGCGCACCCAACTGCCCTACCCGAGCTCTCCACCCACCAGGTGTGGTATTTCCGTACCAACCCAGCCGGGGCCGCTACCAGTTCAATTACTTCGAGGCGAAGCAGGCGTGCGAGGAGCAGGACGGACGCCTGGCCACTTATAGTCAACTGTACCAGGGTGAGCACCGGAGCCCCGACTGACCGCCCCGGGCTGCACACCGGTCCCAGCAAGCTTGCTTGAGTCTGGCTTGCGCCGGTGACTTCCCTTCTCCCCGCCCCCTCCTCCGCCAGCGTGGACCGAGGGGCTGGACTGGTGCAACGCCGGCTGGCTGCTGGAGGGCTCGGTGCGCTACCCTGTGCTCAACGCGCGCGCCCCGTGTGGCGGTCATGGGCGGCCAGGCATCCGCAGCTACGGGCCCCGCGATCGCAGCCGTGACCGCTACGACGCCTTCTGCTTCACTTCGGCGCTGGCAGGTGAGCCTGCTGTGTGCAAGCGGTGCCCGGTCTGGGGACTCCATCCTGGAGCAAGGGCGTGGTCAGGCCTGGGCCAGGAGGCAGGACTCTGCCCGGTCGAGTGAAAGCAGGATCTGTAAGCCAGGCGGGGGCTGGCCAGCGTCCAATGTCGTGCACGGGCGGGGCCTGGAGGGCGGGTGGGGGGGGGGCGGGTCTAGGGCCGGAGCCCAGCGCGGAGAACCTAGCGGAGTAGGAGAATTTGGGCGGGGAGAGTTGGAGTGTCCCAGACCGCGTTCCTCTGGGCTCCCGCAAGCACCGCTTTGCCAGAGTTCTCCTGCTGCCATTTCCCGAGCTTCGCTGTCCCGTCCCCCTCCAGACCCGCTGCTTGGGGCAATCGGTCACCCGCTCTCGTTCCCAGGCCAGGTGTTCTTCGTGCCCGGGCGACTGACGCTCTCTGAAGCCCACGCGGCGTGCCGGCGGCGGGGAGCTGTAGTAGCCAAGGTCGGGCACCTCTACGCTGCCTGGAAGTTCTCGGGGCTGGATCGGTGCGATGGAGGCTGGCTGGCGGACGGCAGCGTTCGCTTCCCCATCACCACGCCGCGGCCGCGCTGCGGGGGCCTCCCCGACCCCGGGGTGCGCAGCTTCGGTTTCCCCCGGCCCCAGCAGGCGGCCTACGGAACCTACTGTTACGCCGAGAAGTGAGAGCACTGCCCCTGCCACGTGCGACAGAAAGAGCCAGCGCGGCGCTCCAGGCTCCCGGGCGGAGGGGCGTCCCAGGCATTAACTTACCAATAAAATAACATTGCGTCTTCTTTGTTCGATAAGCTGTAGGGCTTGGAGGCTTGGAGTATGTGAGAGGATCTGGCCCTGGACACAAAGCCCCTACAGCACATCTACAATCTAGAGGAGAGGTTTAATTGCTTCTGTGACCCAGCAAAATTAAGGGTTTGTGACGAGATGCCATCAAGAGCTAGGAGAGGAAAGCTCGCAGGCCTGGCCATCCTCGCAGGAGAAGCGGGGCTTGTCGTTAGATTTAGCCAGCCACCCAAAGATTTCTCATTCAAATTTGCCAGAAGCACTCCAAACTCCCCAAACTGCTGAGGCCTTACAGAACAGACATTCGGTGGGTCTAAGCACACCTTTAAGTGTACCTAGAAGTGTTTCCAAGGCCTGTCTTAATTGATTAGTAAATTAGTTAATTAATTTGAGACAAGGTCTCTCATTATAGCCCCGGTTGTCCTCTGTCACCATGTAGACCAGTCTAGCCTTGAATTCACACAGATCGGTCTACCTCTGTTCCCCGAGTGCTAAAGTGTACAATTAAAGATAGTAAAGTCCTGGGGCTGGAGAGATGGCTCAGTGGTTAAGAGCATTGCCTGCTCTTCCAAAGGTCCAGAGTTCAATTCCCAGCAACCACATGGTGGCTCACAACTATCTGTAAAGAGGTCTGGCACCCTCTTCTGGCCTTCAGGCATACAGACAGAATGTTGCATACATAATAAATAAATAAATATTTTTAAAAAAAGCAATTCTATTTAAAAAAAATAGTAAAGTCCCGTGGATAGCTCAGCAGTTAAGAGAACTTGCTGCTCTCCTAGGACCAGAATCCACAACATCTGTAACTCCAGCTCCAGGGAAGCCAACACCCTCTTCTGACCTCCCCCCGGCACTAGGCAAACGCATGGTTCACATACATTCTATAATAAATCCATTCGAGAAAGATACAGGCAACCATGCAGATTAAGACAAACGAGTCCTTTCTTTCTGGCCTGTGATCCAGAGTGGGTTCGAGTTCCGGTGCATGTCCCTTGGGGCCGGAGGGGGGACGTCGATGTGAGGTGACAGGGAGAACGGCCTTGCAACATCTGCTTTTGGCAGAGCATAGTATTCCGTGCATAACTCAGCCATTATTTTTTTACTTATACCTTCTTCATTTATTATAAACACTAATTATTTTGGTTAAAATACATCGGGACTGTGGCCAGAGTCAGGGAAATCCCGTGTGTTAGACAAGACTGTTGGAGGTGGTGGGTGGGGGCTGACAAGTGTTTGAGCAAACACAAGAGGGAGCCAGGGCAGGGTAGTCTTTTTTTGTTTTGTTTTGTTTTTTGAGACAGGGTTTCTCTGTGGTTTTGGAGCCTGTCCTGGAACTAGCTCTTGTAGACCAGGGCAGGGTAGTCTTAAGTCCCACATTCGTCTACTTAGGTTACATTTCAGTCGTTGACTTTGATGGAGGAGTGGGTACTGGGACAGCCAGTGAATTACGCAGTTCCCAATCGTTAGACCTCAGAGGACAAGGACAAGCAGATCCATGGAGCCAGGAGTGAGGTGGTTGATCATAGATTCCAATGAAGCCAGCTATGGGACCAGGGATTATTGTTCTGTTTTATTTATTATTTTTAAGGGCCAAGGCATGAATTATTAAAGAAATCAGATAAAAACTATCTAAACCTATTATTTCTAGACACAGCGGAGGTAATAAAATTTTGTCAGAGTCCAGGCCTGGGGATCTGTCAGGATTGGCCCTACAGGAAGCACTATGGCTAATATTACTGTGAGTTCAAAGAGAGAAAGGGGCATCATAGTCCCTGAAGGAATACACCTTGAACAACCGCTGTGTAATGCCTGATATCCCAGCGGGGCCTCCAATGGTAACACCTGAGTCTGTGTTACTCTCGGTACAGTTTGCGCACCACTGTACCGTACGCTAGCCAGGCAAGGGCCTGGAGATTGAAAGAACACACAAGAGACCTGGGTCATTCAAAAGGAGATCAGCAGAATGCCATTTACTCAAATTTAGGGAAAACCTTAAATACCTAGCTGCTGCACAAGGAATGTCCCTCAGGCAGGTGGGAAATTACCACACCCAAGGTCGAGTAAACAATGCCCTGTAGCTAATCACCGGGAGGGGGGCAGAGGAAGCGCAGGAACAAACAGGATGGTTTAGCTGGCTGACCTGAAACTGTCCTCAAGATGAAACCTGGGAGCAGGGGTATACCCATGGGCCCTACACCGCTGCTATTAGGGTTAGGATTGGGGTTAGGGTTGGGGTTAGGGGTAGGATTGGGGTCAGGGGTAGGATTGGGGTTAGGGGTAGGGTTGGGGTTAGGGTTAGGATTGGGGTTGGTGTTGGGTTATGGTTAGGGTTGAAAAACCCTCGTTTTCAAGGGTGGTGGGAAAAATCCCCCAGTCTCAATAATTCAGGCCAACAGATGCAGTCAGCAAGAGGTGTCTGTATTGATTACACAGGCGCCTGAGGATGCTGCAGCAACTAAGTTACAATTAAGTTACTGAGCAAGTCAGGCTGAGGGCACATCATGTATTTATAAGGATTTAGGAGTTACATAAGAGGCTCGTCTAGTAATAGCATTTCATTGGTTCTCAAATTGGCGGGCTTAGCTCACCCTGGGAATGGCCCCGTGTTTATTCTCGAATTTCCCCGAAAAACCATAAAGCCAGATAAAACACCCTGTAGCAGGTTGACAATTTAGATAGGATGTCTTGGGTGAGGGGTGGAATAGTCCAAAAAACCACAAAGCTAGATAGAGCACTCTACAGCAAGTTTGACAGTTTAGATAGACTGCCTTGGGGGTGGAGGATTCCCTCTTCTTAGCCTAGTCAGTGAGTCTGCAACCCATAGATATCCAGTTTTAGCATCGGCTGAGCTGCGGGGCCCAGCTGAATTTCAGCAAAGTTTAACATAGTACATGGGCATGGGGGTCTTTCAGGGTTGGGGTTGCTGTTGGGGTTAGGGGAAGGGTTGGGATTGAAAGACCCCCACTCACTAAGCAGCAGTAATGCCATTTTGCAAGGCTTAAACTTTGGAGCAACGCAAGTAATTAGAGCAGGGAAGTTCGACTTGAAAGCAAGGGTGGAGAAGCCAGGCAAGATATCCGCGGTCAGCCGGTCAGCCATCTGGCCCCAAGCGATAAGGAACCCGCAGCTGGCCTGCTCTAATGAGAACATCCCGGTTGCTTAGGGAAACAGGATGCCTATAGTCAGTATACGTGCCCAATTTAGAATATCAGTAATTCACAGAAGAGACAACTCCCCCTATGAAAGATCCTAGCTTATCTGCTGTAACGTCATTTCACAAAGCTTTTGACGTACGACTATAAGTGCAGAGTAAGGTCAGGGTCCCTGGCTGCAAAACAGGATCTTTATATCCATAGATTAGGACAGGACATCAATTAACAGGATGTCTGTTCCCATACATCTGTGCTGGGAAAGGAAAAACCCCCTGTGCCCCTGGCCCCATTCCAACTGACCACTAACGATGCATTTGCTTCTGTAATCTGCTTCTGCTGCCCTCTTTCCTATAAAAAGACCTTCCCCCAGTCTGCAGGCGCGCTTGTCTTCCGAGAGACTAAGCCGCCCCAGGTACCTGTGTATTAAATAAAGCCTCTTGCTATTTGCATCCGAAGAGTGACTCGCTGCTCCTTGGGAGGGTCTCCTCAGCCTGAAAGACTGCCCAGCACTGGGGTCTTTCATTTGGAGGTTCCACCGAGATCTGGAGACCCCTGCCCAGGGATCACCGACCCACCACCGGGAGGTAAGCTGGCCAGCGATTGTTTTCCGTGAATGTCTGTGCTTCGGTGTTTCTGTGTTTGCGCTTGCGACTGACTCTGTACTAGTTGGCTGACTAGATCTGTATCGGGCGGATCGCGGAGGAGCCGACGGGCTCTCACTCCCGACCGCAGCCCTGGGAGACGTCTCAGAGGCATCTGGGGGCCGGATGTGGTGCCTGGCCCATCGGTAACTCTGTGAATCCTTACCGAATAGGATTGTTCGGGGCACCCCCACAGTCCTAAGGGTACGTGATTCTTCTGGGAGACGAGGAATCCGGATCCTCAGAGTCTCCGTCTGAAATTTTGCTTTCGGCATTATGCCGAAACCGCGCCAGCGCATCTGTATTGTCTGTGTATTTTTGTGCTTAATATGTTCTTTGTTTTGTATATCTGTTTGTACTCGAGTCTAAATCTGGTACCATGGGGCAGTAAATAACCATCTCTTGGACCCTAACTCTAGGAAAATCCAAAAGAAATGCAGACAGTCTGCCCTTCCTTTACTTCTCTAGGCTCTGCTGCTGAACTGCCCTGCTTGCTGTCGCGAGGGGGGAGGGAACAGGACTGTGATCTCCTGAGGCACAGCCTGGAGCCAGGCCTAGGCGGGGCAACTGGCTCCAGCTCTGAGCAAACCTCTCAGCAGGACGCAGGGCGGGGCATGGCAGCAACCCTGGCCCGAGCCAGAGAAGGGGGCAGCCGTGGCCCCCCTGAAATCCCTGTGCTGAAAATGACGTCCTCCCTTGCTGACCTGAAGTCCACCAGCACCGCACGGGAGGACTGGGGGAGGAGGGCTGCCTTAGACAGTCCAAGGTGTTCCCTCCCCCTACAGCCAATGCAAAGGCCTTCCCAGCTGCTACTGGCAGTGTGAGGGCTAAGAGGAACTGAGTGGACCAATCCTGACCTCACAAGTTCCCTGGAGGGAATGCCTCCTGGGGCCTCTGGAATCCCATTCAGAGAAAAGCTGCTAGATTGCTGTGAGTATAGAGATGGGATGTGGGAAGCTTGTGCTATACAACTAGGAGCTCACTGTGGACAGAGCTGAGGCTGAAGCCAGGTCCTGGGAGGATCCCCAGTGGGGTTCCCTGTGGAGAAGGCTTGTTTTCCTTAGAAAATAAGGTGCTAGAGACTGAATGGCAGCCCCCCATCTGCAAATGCCATGTAAAACCTTGTACTAAAGATCTGTGGCCCTTGCCCAGGGGAAATAGCTGGTGCTAGCGCCAGGGTCACAGAACTAAGCCTGGGAACCTGCAGTAGGCTATTTCTCTGGGGTCGGATACCCTATTAAAAAGCAAAGGTCCCCTAAAGAACCTGGACCTTTCCATTTTGGCAGTAGGGCAAGAGATTGCAAGTAAATTTCCCTGTGGCTGTTGATAAATGATAAATGTGGATTCAGGAGTAGTAGCTAATGAAATAAGCTGACATTAAAAGGGCCTGCCAGCCCTAATAACATCTGTCTTCTGGGGATGCTCTATACCAGTCATCATGTGCTGCATCCAGGTAAAAGCCTCTGGTTTAAAAATTGGGAAAATTAAATTAAGTCACTTTAAAATAATATGCTTGTGATAAAAAAAAAAAAAAAAAAAAACTACTATGCAGTGTGTCTAGAAGAAAAGTAAATTCCCAGTTCTGTTTAGATGGATGCAGGACTACACTGTCTTCAAGAACTATTGCTGTAGAAGGCCTGGCACAGGGCCGGGGCCATATGAACAGCCCAGCTGAGCTTCTAAGCCAGCCCATGTTTAGATCTGAATTTAACACTTGTCTGCTCACAATGCTTGTGATAAGGTGGGGG